CATTAATGAAATAGAGTAGTAAGAAGACGGATTAGAATTAGTGTTGTCATAAAACAAAATAACAAAGAAGAAAAGAGAAGAGGAGAGGAGAAAGAGAAGAAAAGAGGAAAAGTGAAGAGACAATCCTAAAGACCCCACACTCAAGGTAAGAGTGATAATCTATATTATTAAGGGATTATATGATGGGTAGTAACATGTAATAGGATTGGGTATGTGAATTTTAGGTTTTGAATCACCCAATTTGATTTAGGAATTTGGAAATTAGGCTTTGAATATCTAGTTTTATGATACAAATAGGCCCCCTATGATGTATACATGTTAGAATATATTTATTTGGTGAAAAATGAGCATTAGAATATAATTTTGGGGTAAAATTTGTAACAAGACAAAACTGTCCTGTAGCAGAATTTTTCTGCATAATTGGAAAGACGCTTAGCGCGGCCTATGGAGCTTAGTGTGGGTGCCTGTAAATGGAAAAATTATATTATTCATGAATGAAATCGGGATCTTGTATGTTATGATTTATCATGGATTTACATTAATTTTAATAATTTATTCGATGTGTTTTGGATTGGTTTTGGATGAGTTTTGATGAATACATGATACTTGATTTTAGTATAATGTATGTTGTATTTTGGTGATTATTGAAAATAACATTGGTTGGATTATATTATATATGTTGTTTGTGAGCTATGATGATGGTTAATACTATGAAAATGTATTGTTAATGATGTTTATATGACAACATGATAAATGTTTGTTTTGTGCAATTGTTGGTGGATAATTTAATGTGTTGAATTATTGTGATATACTTGGATGACTAAGATTGTGAGATGGTTTTAATTGCATATGTTTATTGGAAATTTCACATGCATTCATGGGGAGATTGAACTTCGGGTGGTTGCTTTGATCCTTGTGTATGTAAGTGTTGGAATTTGATGATGTTTAAATATAACATGATTTGTATCTAATTGCTACATGTTATAATGATGCGTTGAGATGATTTATACTATGAGATTGTGTATATGTGATTGATTGGAATGAAAGATGCGTGTTGTGCAATATTGTGAAGATGATTCAAAATGTGTTGAATTATATGATGAATTATTATGACGAGTTGTTGAAATTGCACACGTACATGCATCATTTGTGTGAAGAGGCAAGGTTTGGTAATTCTGGAGGAACTATTGACTTGTCCCAAACCTAATGCTGAATGAGGTTTGAAAGCTTAAAGCTGAATCAGGCTTATTGGTGGTTATTTGTCTTGGAGATATGTACCTGGAAATAGCGGTAAGGATAACATTTGGTACCACATGCATAATGCATTTGAGTCACGTGTGTCAACGTGAATTGTTGATTTATTGTGTGTTATATGATGTCGGTATGAATGTTGGGGTTGGTGCAAAATACGTGATGATTGAATTGATTGATATAATTGTGATAATGGTGATTGATTACACTTGAAATATGAATGAATGGGCTATATTGTATATGAGAACATGTATGATGATTTATGTTTATGCCAAATGCATGACTATGTGAAGTGTGGTGAATTTTATCGTTGTGTGTATGTTTTACATTGTTTATGATTATATATTTTCATAATGATGTGAATTCTTACCCTTCTGTTGGAATGATGTTTTATACGATATCACTCAGGTACCGGAGATAGCGGTGCTTCTTGTCAGGATTAGAGGGGGAGCTAGATCCTCATTTATCTGCTTATTCCTAGCGGAGAAAAAGAGAAGATGTAATTGAAGTTGGAAATTGAAAGGAAGAATTCCAATTTGTTTAAGCTTTTGTTGATTGTTTCATGGTGTCTGTTCTCTATTTACCTTAAATAATAGTGAGTTTGATGTTCATGGTGTTTGTATTTTGTTTAGTCCCTGTTAGAAGGATTGCACATGTATTTTGTCCCTATAACGCTTTATTGAATGAATAAGAACCTTTGAAACTAATATTTATGACCATGTATATTTATGGCATTTTGGTTTTCATCCCTGTTTCATAATGATTGTTTGTATTTCATTCATGTTTCTTAATTAATTGTTTGTATTGCATCCATGTTTCTTAGTTATGTTAGTGTCTTTTCATCCCAGTATGTTTGTGATTTGTTTGCTTAATATTATAGTACATAAAGGCATATAGATACATAATGATGGTTCATGTCTTAAAATAACAATAAGCCGAAAGGCTCATAAATTTGTCTCAAAATACAATAAAGATGCACCATAAATAAAACATAATGATGTCTCATGTCTTCGGACCATAATAAAGTATCAAACTACACCATAGCAGAACCATAATAAGGTATCAAAATACACCATGACCGAACCATAATAAGATGCTTAATTTCTACACATTCATATGTTGTGATGGACCGCTTCCTTCTCCTTTGAGTTTTTTGCATTTAAGAACCCTTGTCCTATCACTTCTACTCAATTCCAATTTCCTTGAAACTTTTGGTTTGCTTGTCTTATTCTTCTGCAAAAATCAGAATATTAGAGGTGAAAAAGTACAACACTTCAACATAACAATTTCAAGTAATTATTAAATGGTTTAATAAACTAAACTAGTTTTAGAACTCTTTTAGTAGTAGAAAGAGGTCCAGCAAGTACATCATCAGTTGTTGGAACAGGTGAAGACAAAATATAGTATGGTGTCAAAAGTGTTATATTGTAGCCAGTTTTTGAAAATGGAACATGTGCACTCTGAGCTGATGTAACATGTGATGTCTGAGCTTATGTAACATGTGTAGTCTCTGAAGATGTAACATGTCTAGTTTCAAAAAGATTTATTTGAGTTTGAGTTTCCTCAAATGTTACTACAAGATTTGCAGCAAGCATTTCAAACTCGAGGTCAACATCAATTTGAGATTTATTAGGTTGAGGTTGTTCCTAGGTTACAACTCCAGCTTTAGTAGGTTGGGTTTGTTCTTGAGTTATATTACCAGATGGATGTCCTTGTCCTGTTGCAATTGTCTTTGGCTTTCTCTAGACATAAAATTCATAACATTAATAAGATATTTTTTGGCAACAATAACTTATTTGTGTCCTTCCCTTATTAGGTTCTTCACCAGGTTCCCTCTTCCTTGATTTCTTTATCCTTCTAGGTCCTACTTAATATGATGTAGGTAACATCTCTTCCATGTCAACCTCTGGCCATGTGTCTTGTCCATTAATAGGACTTACATTATAACTATAGCATGTCACATAAGTCTTCTTGGAATAATAATCATCCATATAATCTTCAGGGCATTGGTTCCTAAAACCTAATGTAGCTACTACATGTCTACAAGGGATGCCTGCTAATTCTCAAAAGTTACAAGTGCATGTTTTTTAAAGTATCCACAATGAAACTATTTATGGTATGGATTTGTTCAACTTTCCATGATTTTTCACCATGCCAGTTTGGAATCCTATTACCTGCAATTTATACTTCTTTATCTAACCTAATTCTAGGTCTAGGAATTATCCTATGTTGCCATCTATCAACCCTTTCTCTTAAGTTGACATTACTATTCATGAGGTAGTTTCTTACCCACTCCCACAAAGTTAATATTGGTTTATCTATGGCAACTAATATAGTGCTATTAAATTCCTCAAATACATTATTCATAAGTATATCACATTTGAGATAAAAATAAAATGCATGCTTACACCATGCTTTAGTAGGTATGTTTGATAGCCACTCCTAAGCCTTCACATTGATCTCCTTAGATTCTTTCATCTAAACATTACAGACTTAGATATATGTGACCTTTGTAATTGTCATCATCAAGTCTCTGATTTGTGTCCCTCCACAAAACTTCTTTTTGAAAGCATGCAAACACATGTGTCAAACCCTGCATACCAGTTTCAAACAAACAAACAGGGATGAAATCCAAAAAATCAAAACAGAGTTAGGGATGACATCAAAAAACAATATTAGTTAGGGATGAAATCCAAAAAATCAAAACAGAGTTAGGGATGAAATCTAAAAGGTTTACTAAAATGAAATGTTTGTGAAAATACATGTTTTTGGTCATAAATGAAAGTCCATCTTTTTCTTAACCAATTTCCTCCAAAAGCAAGGTAAGAAAAAACCTCTATGACTCATTTGTTTCAATTTCACATACACCAAAAGCTAATGGATAGTATTGGTCATTTGGATCTCTACCACCAGTAATAACAAGAGTCCCCTCTATACTTAGTCTTAAGATGGCATCCATCAACTCCATTGAATGACATGTAAGATGTTCTGAATGCCTTCTTAAGCCCATCAAAGCAAAAACAAAATTTGGTAAACCTTGATTGTATTGTTTCTCCAACCCTTGACAGATTAATTTTACAATTGTTCCCAAAATTGAATATCCTTAATTCTGCAAAGTATCTCCACAAAAGGTTGTATTATTTCACTACATCACCTTCAATCAAATCTTTTGCAATTTGTTTGGCCTTCCATGCCATGTTCATAGTTATGCCAAAAGAAAATTTACTCTTAATCTTATAAACAATATCTCAAATCTTAACACCATTAGAAGATGTCATCCTAGCTGCCATAGTTTTAGCAACCCATTTGGAATTGTTTGAACTATTATTCAAAACCCTACCACACGTGTGAGTTCCAACCCATCTCTTCATTTTATACAAGAGCTTATTCCCAACTTTATTTACAAGTTACAAAAACCCATATTTTCCCTTGCAAATTACCCTTACTCTAACTTTGTCATTTTTCACATACTTTATCTCTCTCCCATTTAGTAATTACTTCTTTAAATTCATTAAGTGAAACAAAATCCAATCCCACTCTGAACTTGTAATTCCTGTCCAAATCATCCATATTAAACCTTGGGTATTTTGGTTCCTTCTCTTCATTAGAAGCATCAGGGTCATTGCTACCAAGCTCATCACTAGCATAGTTGATGTCCATCTCATTATCCATACCACTAGATGAACCTATATTATCAACACCAATTGGTGTTTTCTTTGGAGTGGGCTTGTTCTTTCTTGCTCAAACTTTTACCCAACTTCTTTTTCCCTTTTCTGAATAAAATTAAAGCAATCATCCAATCCAAGAGCCCTCTCATCTTCACTATCATCAAATGAAAAACCACCAACTTCAAAGTCATTATCCTCACTACTATCACTATCCTCATTTTCGTCTATATGAACATCATTTCCAACATCACTAACATCCTCTTCTTGAACATCACCTACTTCATATTGTTCAACACCACCAACATCATCTTCTTGAACATCACCTACTTCATCTTCTTTAAAATCACCTGCTTCATCTTATTCAACACCGCCAACATCATCTTCTTTAACATCACCTACATCATCTTATTAAACATCACCTACATCATCTTATTAAACATCACCTACATCATCTTCTTCAGCATCACCTTGTTGTAACCGGTTTTAAAGTGAAAGTCTCCACCCTTAATTTTTATTCTAAGGAATGGGGTATAAAGGTTAACCCTAGAGATTTTAGGTTTTTTGGACTCATTCTTAGACGAAGGGAAGGTGTTAGGAACCCCTCATCTACCTTGTTCACAAGGATACTAGGGTTTAGAAGCGCGATCTTTGAGAAATAAGATTTTAATTTTTATTAGGAGAACTCACCACGATTTTAGTCGCATGCCTACGTATCCTCTTAGAAGGAATCAGAGTCCTAATTCGTAGTTTGTAGTTGGTTGGTGTTTTTTTATGGATTACAAAGATATTTGAAATCCCCTTGTACTAAGTCTGGGTGTGAGAATAGTGGAATTTGTTAGACGTAGTGCACAGTCGATTAAAATATTCTCGTATTCCTTTTTGAAAATCGATTTTTGAATTTAATTAATTTATGGAAAAAAGGTTTATTGTTGGTTGAATATTTTTTTAATGTGTTAATTGTAGAATATCTTATTAAATGCATGATTAAAAACAATTTTAATGCAAGAAAATAAATATTTGAATGAATTTTAGAAAAAATAATATTTAATTTATAATAGTAAATAATAAATAATATTAAGATTTATAAATATATAAAAATATAAAATATAAAAATTATAAATAAAAAAATGCAGGGGGGTTTGAATTTAGTTGGGCTAGTAAAATAGGGGGATATGTGTAGTAGGGCCCTGAATTCGAATATTGAATTCAGGCCCAATGCAGAGGGGGTTTGAATTTGAGTTGCATAGTAAAAATTAGGGGTATGAGGGAGTAAGGGTCCAAGTCCAGATATTGGACTTGGCCCAATAGGCTAAGGGGTTTAGGTTCTCAACACAATAGCAAAATAAAACAAAGAGGGGTGTGAGTAGTAACTGGGTTGGGCCCAAAGGGTTTGGGAGTCCATTTGGACTCCATGCGGGTGGTTGTATGGTAATGCAGTGGGCGTGTGTTTTAGGCCGTTTAATAGTGATCATACAGTGATTGTTGAGGGTGAGGGATAACACGCGATGCACAATATTATAAAGCTATTGTATTTTCTGTTTTGCAACATATTTTGTCATTCTCGTTTCTCTCTTCCTGATTCATCTCCCTCTTCTCTCTTCCATCCACTATAACAACAAACCCTAATCGCCACCGCTACTCGTAAACCCTAATCGGCGGTGATCTTATCCTACCTCCTAGATCTAACCTTATCCCCATAACCCAAATCACACAACAACAAAAAAAGAGATAAGTCGCTTACCTCCGTCCATGACTGTTCTTCGAGCCTCCTTTTTTGCAATTCTCCTTTTGATCCCTTTTCGTTTATGTTTGACAGGTACAACATCAGCGGTTTGACGGAGGAGATAGAGGCAGTAGCGGTGGAGGTTGAAGGATCTAGGGTTTCATATATTGAAACCCTAGTTCACATGGAGCAGCGATGTATGAAGATTACAACAATGAGGCTCTCGATCAAGCTTCTCCTCTCAATTTTTTCTTTTTCTGTAAAAAAAATTTTTTTACTATCTTAGAACACTTAGATTTTTATAGTGTTTTTGGATTATATGATTTATTAAATTAGGGATTTTATAGATTAGTCTTGATTGATTTCAGATTGTAATTGATCCAGTTGTAATTTGTATAGCAATTTTGATTTAATCACGATTCTGTTTTGATAATGTATTGATTTGTATTAAGCTTAGTCAAGATTTTATTTGTAAGTGATTTGAACGGTGATTATTTTTGGCTTTAAACAAGTGTTATTTTTCAATGATCTAAACAGTACACGTTTCTTAGCCCTAAAGCGTGCGTTTTTCCTTTTCAATCTGAATAGTATGCATTTTTTTATTTGGACTTGGGCTGCTAGCGTTTGGACTTTGTAATGGACCGTGCAAAAAAAAGCCTTTTTGTTAACGTTCTTTCCTTTAATTAATAAAATGAAATAATTAATTTAAATTTAAAATATAAGGTTTAATTATAATAATAATTCAATATAAAAACAAACACAGTTTCTCAAAACAACAAAAACTAAAATCAGCCAGATTTTTCACTGATTGGGCTTTTTCTTAAAAATGAATTGCATATGGACCTCTTTAAAAAACATAACCCCTCAACCTTTATTTAAAACATGCCTCAATACTCTTATTTGGACGGTCCAACTAGTCAAAATCTCCCTCATACAAACAGCACACTCCCCCTTCTATAGAACTCTAAATGGACCTAAACTTTGCATGGGCCTTTCTGATTTAGGAAGGCCCAAGAGTTCTAAAAAAATCTCTCCTTCGAAATGGGTTGAAGACAAAAGATTTGACCAAAATGAAATGGGCCTTAAAAAATTTTCACGGGCTTTTCTGATTTACAAAGGCCCATTAATTTCTTCATAAGAAAAAATTCCCCTTTATAAACTTTGAACCCTATGAATATGTGAATAATATATTATAAAGAAAATAATGTTTTAGAAATAAAAATATTAGAAACTAGTAGGTAAAATTTGGGGTATAACATCTGCCCCTATTTAATTTCCTTTTGATTGAATAGTGCGAGAATACGCAGGTCTCGCACACTCAGATTGAAAGTTTATTAAATAATTGAAGACCCCAAAATTTGTCTGAAAGATTATAAGGATACGCTGTACAGCATTCCCATGGGTACAAAAAGTAGGCATAGATGGTGATGTATCATCTTACCACCGTTTGAACTAAAGTTTCTTTTTACTTAGATACGATGATGCAGATAACTCGTCAGTATCTAAGATATTGTAGATTCTTTTGCATATTTACCAAAATATAAGTTTTGAAAAAGTTGACTTACTAATGCTTGGAGACTAATATAGTAATTTTTTATTTGATTTAATTTTGTCTATTCATTGCAACCTAGGGGTTGAATAAAACAAAGTTTGATAACACATTGCTGCATGGAGATTGATGCAATGAATAATGTAGTTTTTGTAGTGTTTACTACAACCTAGGGAGTAAACAATAGGAGGATGAACCTGTGTATTTATAGCTACCTAGGGGATAAAAGACAACAGGGGTGGGCTTAAGTTATTCATCTCAACCTAGGGGATGAATATCATAACCCTGAAAATTCACATATCTATCGCAACCTAGGGGATAGATAATTGAAAAAACTTGATAATACATCGCTGCATGGAGACTGGCGCAATGAGTTATATCACAGATTTCATCCTGTTTGCTACAACCTAGGGAGTAAACAGTTCGAGGATGAATTCACATATTCATTGCAACCTAGGGAATGAATAATATGAATCCGGAAATTCACACATCTACCACAACCTAGGGGGTAGATGATTGGAAGAGCTTGATAACACATTGCTGCATGGAGATTGACGCAATGAGTTATATCACAGACTTCGTCCTGTTTACTACAACCTAGGGAGTAAGCAGTTCGAGGATGAACCTTTGCGTTTATCACAACCTAGGGGATAAAAAACAACAGGGGTGGGCTTATGTTATTCATCACAACCTAGGGGATGAATAATATAACCCTGAAAATTCGCATACCTATCGCAACCTAGGGGATACATATTAAAAAGCTTGTATGTTTACCACAACCTAGGGGGAAAATGGCACAAAGATGAATTCACGTATTCATTGCAACCTAGGGAATGAATAATATGAATCCAGTAATTCACACACTTACCACAACCTAGGGGGTAGATGATTGAGAAAGATCGATAACGCATCATTGCATGGAGACTGACGCAATGAGTTATATCGCAAATAAAAAGTTGTTTTTGATGATCCAATCTTAGATAACTAGATCAAAGATGAGATAGGATTTTTACCGGTTGTGTCTGTTCTCAACCAAGGTAATTGTTTATTTTGATAATCTGATGGATGGCCCAAAGATATTGGTTTAAGCCAAAGTATGTTTGGAAAAATACCATGTGTGATGTATATGCATAATGATCTAGATTGATATGGAACCCAGAGTGTATGTGTAACGCCCCAGACTGCCTTCTGGATTACCGACTGAAGCCACAAACCAACATGAGTCTTTTCAGCATGCTTTTGGCCCCACTCACATGCTTTCTAAGAAACTACCCAGAAGGTCACCCATCCCAATACTACTCCAAATCAAGCACACTTAACTGTGGAGTTCTTATGGAATAAGATACCGAAAAGAAGATGCATCTTGATTTCAGTAGCTCATTCATAAGAACTCCATAGTTAAGCATGCTTGACTTGGAGCAATTATGGATGGGTAACCTTCTGGGAAGGTTCCCAAAAAGCGTGTGAGTGAGGAGAAATCATGTTGAAAAGACCTGTGTCGGTTTGTGGGGTTAATCGATAATCCTGAAAGCAGTTTGGGGCATTAGAAATGGTATCAGAGCTAGACCTCTCTCAATACGATGTGGTTCAAGGATGAACCATGCAAAAGCTGGTGGGGAATGTAACACTCTAGGTCGAAGAGGGCAATGAGTGGTTGCACCGCATGTAACACCTAAGGCCGAAGAGGTCAAGGGTGGTCGCCACATCGGAATGAGAGGGATCCTGAGGTTGTACAGGGAAGAGACTACATGGTTGAAGGAAACCTTATAAGGATTGATTAGTATTACCTATACCAACAAGATGCATCTTCTTTCCGGTAGCTCATTCATAAGAACTCCATAGTTAAGCGTGCTTGACTTGGAGCTATTCTAGGATGGGTGACCTTCTGGGAAGTTTCCCAGAAAGCGTGCGAGTGAGGAAAAATCATGTTGAAAAGACCCTGGGGCATTACAGTATGCCCCAAATATTTACATATGTACCAAATGTGTGTATATGCCCCAAAATGTAATGAGAAATGTTTTGGATATTCTCTCCTTCTAAACCATTGGTTTTATGTTATCAACTCCCTGACGTTGTGTTGTTGTGGTATTTTTGAATTGAATAAGATGAAAAGTGTCCGCATGATCTTGATATTTGTATCGTAGGAAAAGGCCTTGTGTGGACGTAGGCGTGGACGTGGAAGTAGGCATGGATGTGGACGTAGGTGTGGACATGGGTGTGTATATGCCCCAAAATGTAATGAGAATTTTTTTTTATATTCTCTCCTTTTGAACCATTGGTTTTGTGTTATCAACTCCCTGACGTTGCATTGTTGTGGTATTTTTGAATTAAATAAGATGAAAATTGTCTGCAGGATCTTGATATTTGTATCATAGGTGCGGGCGTAGGTGTGGACGTATGCATGGACGTGAATATAGGCGTGGACGTGGAAGTAGGCGTGGACGTGGACGTAGGAATGGACGTGGACGTAGATGCGGATTTTCTTTCGATTTTTCTAACCAAAATGTCTTTTGATGTTTTATCAAAAACTTTTATTTGTCAAATCCCCAAAATGATTTCAATGCAGTATTCACAAAAAATAATCGTAGTATTTTGCAAACAAGCTCGAAAAGAAAAAAACAATTGAAATTTTTTGAAAAAGTCAATATTATATTGATAAATATACTTCTGAATAGGCGAGAGTACAAGATGCGATTCCTTGAAAGAGGTAATTACATAAAGTTTTAAAACTGAAAATGGCAATGAAAATGATAATTGCTACTACTGTTTCCCCAATATCCATTTGATAGCTCCAATCTTCTTTGCTTGAGTCAAATAATTTGGATCCATCTCTTCCTTTGTGGTTTGAAGTCGCAATTCTTAGATCTCGATATTTTTGTTCTTTATTTCTTTGAATAAGATCCCTAATTTTTCCTTGGATCGCCCTTTCGGGTTTTCAATCCATCGGGAATTTTTTTTTTGTGTATGTCCCTAATTTTTGCCTGGATCGCCCTTTACGGTTTTCAATCCACCGAGACGCTCCTTTTTTCCTAAGTCACACATTTAAGGTTCGAACTTAGCGAGCTTTTTATACATAGTATTTTTTAACTGCGTCTGAATTTTCCGGATGTGGTATTTCTTCCCCATCCATTGTTGTGAGGATGAGACCACCACCGAGAATGTTGTTTTTACCATATATGGACCTTTGTAGTTGGGTGTCCATTTACTGCATGAATTGAGGAGAGGTAGAAGAATCTTCTTGAGCACCAAATCCCCTTCTTTGAATACTTGAGGGTGAACTTTCTTGTCAAAGGCTTTCCGTTTATCCACTTCTGATATAACTGACTGTGGCACAAAGCTGTCAAGCGTTTCTCTTCAATGATATTGAGCTAATCAAGTCGCGTCTGAACCCACTCTGCTTCTTCAAGCTTTGTTTCCATTATAACTCGAAGTGATGGAATTTCTATTTCAACTGGGAGTACTGCCTCCATGTCATATAC